TAAATAAATAAATAAAAGAAGCCCTGTGTGCTGGGTGGGGATGGGGGGGCAGTGCACCTAGTAAATCTCTTGTAGGGAGCTTTTGGCCTTGAGCACAGCACAACTCAGATAACTAACAAATAGCTGGCATGGGAGTAGCTAGAAGTGGCAACAGAGCGGTTTGCAAGGTCAGATAGTTGAACTTATTTTCCCTATTATTCAAGCAGGCAGGCATTTACAGAAGCCAAAATAGCAGGGTTAAATTCCAAACAGCAGGGTGTTTTTCTTTTCTTTTGTTTTGTTTTTACAGAATAGAGATTACAGTAGCAAGATGGAGTGCCTATGCATCAATGGGGCTCATGAGTGGCCTCTTAGGGGCCAGGTTCTCTTTGGGGATCTTAGGGGTTGAATTGTGTCCCTCCGCAAATTCATATGCTGAAGCCCTAACCCCCAGGACTTCAGAATATCACCTTACCAGGAGACAGGCTCTTCATGAAGGGAATCAGGTTAAATGAGGTCACTAGGGTAGGCCCTAATCCAATAGAACCAGTGTCCTCATAAGTGGGAAGAGGTAGTAGCCAGGCATGGATACAGGGAGAATGCCATGTGAACATGAAGACGGCATCTACAAATCTAGGAGCCTTCCCTTGCAGCTTCGGAAGGAACCAACTCGGCCAACAGCTTGATTTAGACTTCTAGCCCCCAGAACTGTGAGGAAATCAGTTTGTGTTGTTAGCCACCCAGTGGTGTGTTGTACTGGCAGCCCTGGGACACTAATGCAGAGGGCAGACAGTGGCTGTGCTGAGCTGGGTGGGGCTCTGGCCCAGAGTTGGGTATTAGGGAAGAGCTGAGAGGTGAGCAAGGCTATGTGTGACAAAGCCACCTCAGGGGTCTTGCAGGTCTTGCCATCTCCTGAGCCTGTTGTTGCTATGGTGTTATGGAATATGGAATTTATGGTTTTGGTGCGGAAGAGACAGTTGGACACTCTGAGGTTTCAGGAAAAGTCTTTATTCAAAGCAGCACTGCTGGTTCAGGGGACTCTAAGATCCAGATCCTGAACAACTTAGACAATGAGATTTTCTCTTTATACATTTCTGAGTTTCTTTGTTCCTTAACTACTACGCTTCTGTAGTGGACCCCAACTCCCCCCGACCTTCGAGAATCAGAATGGTTAACTTAGATTCTATCTAATGTCTATCATGGATGGTGCCAATGACCTTCTTCTAATTAAGCTGTTACATCCTTGGTTTATGACCCTTGTAGATTGGGAGTATTTGGATAAATAGCTCCTGCAGGACCAGATAACTAAGGGAGGGGAAGTGATTTCCTGAATGTGCATTAGGGACAGTGATAAACTAGGTTCAGAGTCCAGCTGCTAGTCTCCTACATTCTTTCAAAAATGGAGTTAATTATCGGACAGCAAGGGTATGCAGTAGAACCCTAACCAGTTTGGCTCAGTGGATAGAGCGTTGGCCTGTGGACTGAAAGGTCCCAGGTTCGATTCCGGTCAAGGGCATGTACCTGGGTTGCGGGCACATCCCCAGTGGGGGATGTGCAGGAGGCAGCTGATCGATGTCTCTCTCTCATCGATGTTTCTAACTCTCTATCTCTCTCCCTTCCTCTCTGTAAAAAATCAATAAAATATATTTTTTAAAAATCAATAAAATATATTTTTTAAAAAAGAAAAGAAAAGAAATCAGTAATTCTAATTCCACAATGTTGTGTGTTTTTTTTTTTAAAAAAAGAGTGTGCAGTAGAAAGCAGGTTACTGGATCAAAATCAGATTGCTAGACACAAAAATGTCTTATGCTCCCCATCAATAAAACCTCTGGGCTCTGAAGCTGGGGTGCACTCTGTTCAAGGGACCTGGTGGATATTCGAGACATTTCCCTGCACCTTGACTCCCCAGCGGGAAGCTCTTGATTCTGGAATCTCTGAGAAATGCTCCAACCTGCTTTTGAAATCTGCACTTTCCTCTGCCCCTTCTCTGTCTCAGGCTGATGAGGGGATGAGGAAGAAAGCCATTCCTGGTCTCAGAGATTTCCTGGTTCAGAGAGTAAAGGAGCCATGGTCAGAGTTTAGGGATGTGCCCTCCCCTTCCAGAGCCCTTAGAACAGCGGTTCTCAACCTGTGAGTCGCGACCCCTTTGGGGGTCGAAGGATCCTTTCACAAGGGTCGCCTAAGACCATCGGAAAACACATATATAATTACATATGGTTTTTGTGATTAATCACTATGTTTTAATTATGTTCAATTTGTAACAATGAAATTGGGGGTCACCACAACATGAGGAACTGTATTAAAGGGTCGCGGCATTAGGAAGGTTGAGAACCACTGCCTTAGACCTCCCCCTTCCTGTCTTTCCTCTTTCTGTTTCTGTTTTTGTCTCATCCCCTCCCCCCAACCCCACACTATCGGTTAGCCATATTTTACTCTCTAGGGCAGGTCACCCTCCCCACCCTCCCACCCCCCCAAGCCCTCTTCTACTGCTCTGAAATCAGCTGACTTTCTGGTGCAGAAACCTTTGCTAGCTCTGTGCTGGGAGGATGTGGCAGAAGGTGATTGGCTCAGTGGGGGCCCCAAAAGGAGCTGCAGCCAAAGGGATTCTGTAGAAGAGGCTGCTCCTCTGAAACACTTCTCATACCTGTTCCTCGCCATCAAGCCACAGCCCTCTGAACCCTGAGCAACCATGTGCTACTCCAAGGTGAGTGAGAGCAAATGGTGAGGGGACAGTATGCCCTGGAGTCCCATTTCCCACTGTGTGTTTGTTCCCCTCTCCCACCAGTGCAGCCCCACCCTAGCTGATCTCTAGATTCACCAGGCTCTGTTCCATCCTCCTGGGCCACGGGGAGACCCCTGGAAGGATGGTGTCTTGAGAATGTGACCTGTATGCTCATCGTGATGGCCCTGATGGAGGGTCTGTAGGTGAGAACAAACACCAATCCCAGTAGATCCTTTATATCCTAATACCCTGAAGGTGGGAGGTGGGAGTTGGGAGGTGGGCAGTGCTTTCCTGGGAACTTAAAAATCCTCTCAGGTGTATGGTCCAGCAGCCCAGCACTGGCATTGGCCTCAGAGTCTATTCCTCCTTTTTGTTGTGCCTTCCAACCTCCCCACACCCTACCACCGCCCCCAGCCCCACCCGCTTCCTAACCATGAGGTTGGCTGATGCTCCAGGATGCTTTGGGATCATGACCAAAGGATCATGGAAACATCATTAAGGACTAAAGTGACCCAGGGCTCAGTGACCAGATTGGGGCCATAAGGTGGACTCATGAGGAAGTATGTGGGGTACTCCCTGCCTCGTTGGTTGAGCCAAGGGTTTAGGGGTAAAAAGGGGCCTGGGGTGCTGTGGCCTGCAAGGTCAGCAGTCAGGAAGAGCAGCTGGATGTAGGCACCGCTGTGCCTGTCCCCTCCTCAGAGAGGGATGGCCACTGCCAATTCCTCCCTCAGCCAACTCTCACCGGTACCATAGAGGGCTGGGTATCTGGGAACCAGATGGCCCTGCACACTCCAGAACAATGTTCATACTTGTACGCTTGTGTGCAATGGTGAGTGTGAGTGTGTGACCATGTGTACAACAGGTATGGGAGTTGATAAGTCATATAAGATCAATGTCACTGTTACCTCCACAGATATTCCAAGAAAATATTGAGAAAATGAGGAGTGAAATGGTAAGAAGCACTTCTCCATGTATAGATAGGGTGTGGGCGGGGGCCTGGGTTTTGCTGTGGGAGGGTAAGAATGTTCTGGGTCCTGTGGTCCAGGAGGGAAAAGGATCAGATGTATTTGTCCCAACTCTATCTCTTTTTACAGCACAAGGGTGTAGACACATTCTGTGATTTAGCCAAATCCGAAGAAGAGGACCAGGTGGGCCAGGGTTCCCACTCCTGTGCTCTGCACAATTTGGGTGGGGTGGTTTCACAATGATGATGACGATGACAATGACGATGATGATGATGATGATGATGGTGACGATGATGATAATGAAGGTGCCACCTCAGGTTGGCTCATTCCTTACACTGGACAAAATTCATACCTGTGTGGCGGGTGAGTACACAGGTGGGGGATAGGAAGGCCCAGGGAGCCTGAGAGGTGTCATAGTCATAGGTATACTGATGACAGAGCAGGTCCCCAGGCACATGGCTGGTCCCATTATGGGAAGAACAGAGGATAGGACTAAAAGTGAGGGAGGCCGGGGGAATTTAAACAAAGTCATTTTTTCCCAACAGGTCAACATAGGCCTGGAAGAGCTGGAGGTGAGTTTTGGCCTCCCCCCTCCCCCAAAGCTTAGTCCCAGGAGTTTGGCTGGGCCAGATTATTGGGGTGAGCTTTGGTTCCCTTGGAGGTCACAGTGGGGTCCACAGACCACAACCGGCAGAAACAGGTCTGCAGCCTCCCACCCTCCTCTCCTCAGATCAGCATCAATGAGGCCGCGCTTGATACCTTATTGGCTCCCTGTGAGAACAATGACCAGGTGAGTCTGAGGCTCCTGTCACAGCCCTCTGTGCTTCCCCTTCACCCCTAATCGCTTGTGATGTTGGCGCTGCCATGTGCATACACAGCCCCTGAGTGGGGTGGGGTGGGGTGCGGTGGGGTGGAGGGGTGGCTGGCACCAGGTCCTGACCTCCCCACCCAGCACACAGTGGCCAAAGCCCTGCCCTCACCTCCATGCGTTAATGAGGAACCCCCTGGGCCTGGTGCTGGCCTCAGAGGCCAGTCAGCCAACAAGCAGGTACGACCATCGTGGTTTAGCTACAAAGGGGAGTTGGGGCGCTGAACCTCTGCAAGAAGTCTTTGTCTGTGGACTGCCGGCAGGAAAGCAGGCAGCTCCCTGTGTGAGCTTTTGTCAGGACCTGGTTGGACCCTACACATGCCCAATCCCCACAGGAATCTACTCCCTTACTTCCGGAGCAGCAGCAGGAACTGCGTAACAGAGTTTGTAGCAGAGTCCGCCCTGGACAGAAACCAGGCCCGGAGCTGGACCCTGAGCCAGAAGGATCGCCCAACCAAAATCCAGGTGATTTTGAGAGGATGTTAATTAAATTCGGACAGTGAAACCAGGAAGGGCTTAGGATAGAAGCAGCACCAGCAGAGAGCCTAAGTGGGGCTGCTTTTGCTCACTGTTAACTTAGAGAAAAGGGGGACCTTGGAGACAGGGTTGGGGGGGGTCAGTTCAGATGAGCTGCTGCTGCCCACTGCTCCTCTGGTTGCAAGTCTCCTGGGGACCCAGGGTTTAGGCGATGCATGCCTGAAAGGGAAGAAAGATGTGGGCTTGTGCCTGGGTCCTTTGTGTTGAGGGTTTAAAGGCTGGGAGTTTAGAGGAGGTCTTGGGGAAGGATCTCAATAGAATATTCATCAGCTTTATGCTGATGTGCCAAAATGAGATGTGTTCCTTTAACTTATCTGTGCTTGGGTTTGGTTGGCACTAATTACATTTCTGCTATCTATCTCCCTGAGTGGGGTGATTTAAGCTCTTTACTCCCTGTTTTGGGAGGAGAAGTATAAGCCTCTTAGTCTTTTTTTTTTTAAATCCTCACTTGAGGATATGTTTATTGATTTTAGAGAGAGAGGAAGGGGGAGAGAGATAGAGAATGAGAGAAACATCTATGTGAGAGAGAAACATTAATTGGTTGCCTCTTGTATTTGCTTTGAACAGGGATTGAACATTCAAGCTAGGTATGTGTCTTGACTGGGAATCGAACCCACAACCTGTGTTGGTGTACGGGATGATGCTCTAAACCAGTGATGGCGAAACTTTTGAGCTCGGCGTGTCAGCATTTTGAACAACCCTAACTTAACTCTGGTGCTGTGTCACATATAGAAATTTTTTGATATTTGCAACCAGAGTAAAACAAAGACTTATATTTTTGATATTTATTTTATATATGTAAATGCCCATTTAACAAAGAAAAATCAACCAAAAAAATGAGATCGCGTGTCACCTCTGACATGCATGTCATAGGTTCGCCATCACTGCTCTAAACCATTTACTCTTGTGTCCCTGCTTAGGGAAGACAGGATTTTGCAATGTACTAGTATTAGATGGCTGTAAAGGCTTGGTCGTTTAACCATCTGCCTCAGTTTCCCTATTCCACTTCGCTGGCTTCCTAACTAGTCTCTCTCACAGGGTCCAAGAAGCCTGGGGAGAGCTTTTGTGAATGGGTACTGAGGCGGTTCCGAGAGATGCTAAGTCGACTGCAGAAGACCTGGCAGGCCGTGCTGGCGTGGGTGGAAAAAAAGTGGGCCTCCTTTGTCAACAAGGTGAAGTCCATCTGGAGTGCGATTAAGAATTTCTGCTCCAGAGTGGCAAAGTACTTCTCAAGTTTATTCCTGGTCTAAGGAATCCCATGAGGTCCTGGAGGAGCTCAGTCACACCTCCCAGCCCTTTGATTCCTCCCACCCCTTCTCAGAAAGAATCTTCTGGAGTAACATTTGCTTTCCTGCTCACACATGACCCATCCTCAACAGCCTCCCTCACTTCCACCCTGTTCACAGCCTCTCCATCTAGCTTGCCTGGGTTTCCTTCTCTTGCTACAGCATTTTAATAAACGTTGGTTGGCCTGGGGAGGGGGCAGAAGTGGGGTGGAAAAGGTCAATGGGGAAAAGGGGGATCCGTAATACTTTCAACAATAAAGGTAATTTGCTTTCAAAGGTTGACTGAACCAAGTTGAGTGCCTGTGTGGGTGGGTGGCAGGGTGCTCAGTGGTTACAGGGAGAGGCTGTGCAACAATCAGATGGATCTAGGCCTGGACCTCGGCTCTGGTGGAAAGGAGAAGCCACCTGGCCTCTCTAATCTGTAGACAGGGCCCTGGTCACACTGGCCACGGATTATAATGAGCACTTGAGGATTTCAGCCTGTGCACGGCTTCTCGCAGGGCCTGGCACATAGTAAGTGCTCCATAGCTGCCCGTTCCTGAACGCAAGGAGCTCAGGCCTGAGGCACTTGGGCCCCTTTTCTTTTCCTC